GAAATTAATAGAAGTCTCAAACTAGTAACTTATTGTAAGGTGAAACATGAATTAACATGTGAGAAATATCTTACAAATATTGGTCAGTCTTATGCAATATACAGAAATGCTTTATGTAGATTAAGGATCTCGTCCCATGTACTACAAATTGAAAAGGGTAGGGCCAGTGGTACTCCACGTAACCAGAGGTTGTGTCCTTTTGGCTGTAATGTAATTGAGGACGAATATCACTTTACATTAGTTTGTCCCAAATATAACTCCCTAAGGTTGAAGTTTATTGCACAGTATTACTACTCCCCACCTACAGAGATAAAGTTTATTTCATTATTTCAGAATCAAACCCCATATATACAATTAAACCTTGGTAAATTTATATTTTATAGTTTTCAAGTACGTCAGCTTATGCTTGAAGAGAACACTTGATTATGCAAATGTTATGTATTATGATTTTATATTTGTTTTTCTTTACTTGTTTCTGCGACCATTCCAATCTAATTTATTATGTATTTATTTGTATCTGTACATAAGGCCAATGGCCACAGTACGAAATAAAGATATATATATATCATTCTCGCAAGTCATAGTCATCTGCTGAGTAATGTTTTCCTCTGGACTAAAAGCATAAACAAAGTACAACACAGTAGCCACCGCAAGTCGGCAACGAACAACAAAAATGAACCAATATATACTTGAACGTCCATCCTCCTACAATGGTTAGTGAAATTGTTCATATACTAAGTATGGATGGCTTGTAGGCGTACGTATTAATGATTCATTCATCGCCTAATGGGTACAATGTACACAATAAATATTGATATGATCATGGTACGTCATTGATATTCTGTGTAGATGTTAAACAATCGTTCAAATATTGTCCCCAATGGATTGACATGGGCCTGCTGCTTCAGAGGCGACGGCACGAAATTTTGCATGGAGGGACGAGATCTGCTCACCAGCCCCGAAGGCGCGACCTTACCAGGGGGTCAAGGGACATGCTCCCCCTTAACAAAATTGACATCTATACCCTCTGAAACGCTATTTCCTGCATTTTGAGGGACAACATTTGCTGACACAAAGGGTTTCAGCTTGATTTTGGAGGGGCGACGCCCCCAATCATTTTTTTCGAGGGGCGTCCGCCCCTCTGCCCCCGTGCCGCCGCCACTGTGCTTAGATAAAGTATGCATTATTTTGTGTCAAATAAAATATACTATACTATTCAGTAGAGCTGGTATTAAATATTATATTTCAAATGTTTGTCAGAATTGTTTTTGGATAGTTAATAAGTTCTTAGTTTAATTCTTAGCATTTCTGCTATCATCATTTATTTCATACTTCCAATGTAAGGAGAACGTATTTTGTTAGTTAGTCAGTTTAAATTTATTCTCATAAAGGGATATGTTATCAGAGTCAGCTGTTCTCTTCGTATATTTAATTGCCTGTTTTGGGTGAAGCAGTGATTAACAACAACAAACAAGCTTTCAATCAATTATACGACTACTTGACTTAACTTTACCCAGTGTATAATGCGTTCAATTAGGGTTCATTGTGAATAGTGTTTCTTCGCTTCATACAAAATTCAGAAAATGAGAAATGAGAGTGCAAACGGGGAACAAACTCATGAGCAAAAAAACCTCATTGTGAAAAAATACATGATAAAAGAGTGAGCCCTCATACATGAGTAAGCGAAAATCGTTCGTTTTCAACCCGGGGTTTTCAAGCGTGCCCCGGCTTGCAGAAAAGCAACAATAGCACTGTTCTAGTGCCCGACTGCACTGCAATTACATCCAGTGTGCAATGCGTCCAATTTTTTTTACGAATAGCATTTAGCAAGTTTAGTCGCTAAAAAAAGTTCAGAAAAACTGGAAAATGAATGGTGAATCATGGGTAAGTTTCAAAATGGCGACGCATTCGGGAACAGCGGATCGTTCAAGTCGTTATGAGAAGATTGATTTCCTCGGGGAAGGACAGGTAAGTGGAAAACCAATTTTAACATTCTATGAATATTAAATATAATATACATTAGCTACACAATTTACAAAACAAACAAACATATCCATATTTCAGTTCTACGGCGGAGCACGGTGACATGACTTTTACAGTTGCGTTTTAATGTATTGTTGTTTTTTTGGAAATTTATGTGACATAGTTTGATTGTATACATGCAGTGTTGAATATACATGTAGAACATTTTAGGATTTCGAAATATCGTCCCTGGACACGCCAAAACACTATTCAAACAAACATAAACCTAAGGAAACAGGTGAACAGGGCTTTCCAATTTGAATGGAGGGGGGTGGTTGTGAACCCAAAAATTGTGCATTCCGTAATGTAATAAAGGAATTTATATATATAATTAAAAAAATTGATTAATCATATTTGAATAAAATTAAAATATATACAAAAAACCGTATAGTGTTTTCAGAATAGCTCTTTCCATATTTCATATTGCCAAATTCATTGTATGTTTTATTCAGATTCAATTGAGACAACTGGATTAGCTTTTTCAAACTCATTGAGACATTTGGATTAGCTTTTTCAAACTCATTGAGACATTTGGATTGGCTGTTTCAAACTCATTGAGACATTTGGATTGGCTGTTTCAAATTTATAAATATTTTCTGGGAGCAATGTCTTCCTTCAGCCTCTGTGAGTTCAAAAGCGTAGCCTCTCAATTGCATTTAACATCAGGTATCCTCTCTCAAAGCCATTATCCTCACAGATCAAGGAGGGCATGAGCAGGGCATATGATGTTAATATGTTCGTTTGGCACAGTGTTCAATTGCTGGGCAGTGACAAGGAGAGATGAAAGATTAACTGAATGCCGCGAAGTTCTATACGGGCACTATTCATCTGCTATTGTGATTAGCCAAGTTGTTTTCAATTGCATTTGAAACTTATAAACATTTATAAATATTTTATATGAAAAAATTATGCCTTTAATGCATAAACCCCTTTTCACGAGACCCCTCAGTAAGTCGCAACCCTTGATAAGTCACAGTATCAAATATTTGACAAGGAACCAAATTAAATAATATCTTGAATCATTTCAATGTTCATCTTCACCTATCAAACAATTTGCATACAGTACTTGTCATGCATTGTTGTAAATTAATAAATCTCATCTAAAATAATCCTCTGTATGGTGAGACACTACCTGATTTGTACCATATTTATTCTATTAGTAGTGCCCTCTAATATGTGCACATGTAAACCATTAATCATTTGTTGTATACTGAATCATTAAAAATATTACTTTGACCGTGGAACCACCTCTAATGCTCTAATACTTGTATTTATTTCTGCTGGAATGAAAAAAAATATATATCACAGTGTACTGCTCTTAACTAGTTCACTATGTGTTTGTCGTCAGTTTGCTACAGTATACAAAGCTAAAGACACTGCTAATGGAGGGAAAATAGTTGCAGTTAAGAAGGTAAGAATATTTTAGTTCACCAATCTAAAGTAAGTTCTGTGATAATATGAAGGGTTCATGTGTAAATTCTGTGATAATAAAAATGGTTCATGTGTAAATTCTGATAATATGAAGGGTTCATGTGGATATTCTGTAAAGATCTGAAAGGTTCATGTTTAAATTCTGTGATAATATGAAGGGTTCATGTGTAAGTTCCGTGATAATATGAAGGGTTCATGTGTTAATTCTGTGATAATATGAATGGTTCATGTGTAAATTCTGATAATATGAAGGGTTCGTGTGTAAATTCTGTGATGATATGAAGGGTTCATGTGTAAATTCTGTGATGATATGAAGGGTTCATGTGTAAATTCTGTGATAATATGAAGGGTTCATGTGTAAGTTCTGTGATAATATGAAGGGTTCATGTGTAAGTTCTGTGATAATATGAAGGGTTCATGTGTAAGTTCTGTGATAATATGAAGGGTTCATGTGTAAGTTCTGTGATAATATGAATGGTTCATGTGTTAATTCTGTGATAATATGAAGGGTTCATGTGTTAATTCTGTGAAACTATGAGGACTACATGTGTAAACATATGTAGCAGCTTTGTGTGGATGGTAACAGCTTTGGTAATAACAGATAACTGATTTGCTTGTAACATGTCTGAAATTCAAACTTCACACGCCCATTTGTTTAGGGATACAACTCAGGATGGCCACTTTAGTGCTATAATGCACCAAGTAAAGCATTTCTGACATTCTGAACCAGGCTATCAGCCATGGCTACGCAGATTTTATTATTCCCACTTTGTAATCATATTAAACATCATAAGAAACTGTTGCATGTTATTTTGTTTTACGGATCTTAAAAACAGAGTGTTATGTTTCTGACAATCCTTCACCAATTACATTCAAACTTTACTAAATATGTTGTACATAATGTCAGATTATTGTTATATTGTTTACCGTATACAATGGTTTTGTATGGTTTTATGGTCTGATTCTAAATGGCTTACTTATACCCATTGCAAAAATATCCACCATTTCAGAACTGTATGTAAATTTGGTACATACATAGAAAATGTGGCAGACTTTTATCTTCAACATTCCTAGACTTATTGCATTGAACCTCATGTTAAAATATATATTATGTAAACACACATTCCTATTCAATATTACAATAAAAACTAGATCTTGCTCTATTGAATTTATTTTGTTTGCAGATTAAACTTGGTCAACGAAGTGAGGCTAAAGATGGTATCAATAGAACTGCTTTGAGAGAAATTAAACTATTACAAGAATTAAGTCATGAAAATATTATTGGGGTAAGTAATGGTTTGACATCTCAAATATTTACAGAATAAGTGTAGTTTACACATATTTTACAATATGTTTTGTACAATTCATTTTCACATTACCAAAATAATCAAAATGTTGCAAATTATCTCTTGAAAGTGACATTAATTATTCTTCCAACAAGCACAGCTGATTATATAAAGGTATAATTGCAACACCTTCTTCTTGACAGTCACATGACTTGTTGCTTTGATTCTACATATATTGGCACCTTATGAAGACTTCTATCACATTTGTACATTTTGAATATTTTTGTGATTTTGAGTACAAAATGTCTTATTTATTTGCTTCTTAGGAACACAAGTGCTGCTATTTACTCTATTTATTAAATACTACATCAATTCTGCAGTATCACAATTGGATCTAATACGTCATTTCCATAGACAATCATATCATTTTAGTTTTGGTTACTATTTTATGACAGAACTGTGTCATGTCAATGTTTCTTTTTTGAATTAATTTTTTGCCAAGCACTGATCAACTAAGATATTATTTATATTTTCTCTCTCTTGTAGCTACTTGATGTTTTTGGTCATAAATCTAATATAAGTTTAGTATTTGATTTCATGGACACAGATTTAGAGGTGAGTCATTACCAGTGAGAACATTCTATAGTTGTTACCTCACCTGTATCATCAAAGATGAAAGAGCATGAATATTAAGGGAAATGTCTGTCGTCGATGTTAATAATTGTTAGTATGTGCAATATAACTTTACTAATTCTATTCCAAATTGTATAAAACTTCGTCACCTAATTCATCAGCATAAAATCTTTCCTTAGTGCGAATGATATGATATTTGTCCCTAGAGGGTGTATTTTAATTTTCAAATATTACTGTAGTTACACAATGAATACAATGAGGAAGTTCGCATTTGTCTCAGTAAATCATTATTTTTTGACAGAGATACATATTAGGCAAAAACCCAGCTAAGATTTTCTGTTATCTTGCATGTTTTATGATTACGTTCACGCCTAAATGCTGCACTTTTTTTCTGAGATGAGGCATTTAGTTTCATACTGAAATATCTGAATTACTGGAAATTATGTCTCTCAAAATAATTAAACAAATTAGGCACCAATGTTTTTGTAAGATATTTACATCAATCGAGGACTCTTGAAAGACTACTTTCCCACTGCTGTTTCAATCCTAAAACTTGTTTGTATTCAAAATTATGACAATGCATATTCATATTGAAACAATGTTAAACAAAGGGCAAGGTCCCCAGAGTTTAACTATGTTTTTACTTGCAATCAGAACATTCTTCAGTTGTTCATGTCTACTAAACAACTGTAATATTTTAATGATTTGTTGTACATTATACAATTTTTAGTTTGTGTGCACTTTTATTTATCTTTCTACAATGTTTTCTCACTTAGAATATCATTGCTAGTTCAACAATGTGGGCTGGTCTTGGTCTGCACACTGTTTTCTGCTCTAAATACGTTTTGCACACAGTATTATTGCCAAATGATATAAAAAGACAACCAGCGTTTACTCACAGTATGTTTCACCTCAGGTGCATATACTGAAGTATTGAATGCAAAATGTCTGTCTGAATATTTACTAGTAGCCAACAACAGCAAAATGCAGCTTGTCAGATTATTAGATGAGCTACTGCTTTGAATGAAAGGCATGGAAAACTGTTGAAAGGGAATTTATAGATGCACTTCTAATGGAGCAAGTACAGGATTTGAATTGTCATCTTTTTTCTTATTTTACAGGTTATAATTAAAGACAACAATTTAGTTTTAACACCTGCACATATCAAAAGTTTAACAATTATGACTTTACAGGGGCTAGAATATTTACATGACAATTGGATTCTTCATAGGGTAAGGTTAAATATATTTACTACAATTGACATGAGAACAAGGTGAAAGTGACTAACTTATTTAAAAGCATTTCAAAGTCTTGAAAAGTTTCATCCTATAAATGACAAAGACCGAATAAAAGAGGAGGGATACTTGAACATTGGAAACAATGATATTGTGATTTCCCTGTAGTATTAAGCCTTAATCTTAATCTATATTGAATTGTACATTGGTCACTGAGGTTTATAATCCCTATTTTCGGTTCTTTGTGTCCGTCCATCTTCATTTCTCAGACATTTCTGGACTGATACCGTTCATCCCCGATCATAGGTCCCTCCCCGAGAATAAGCCCATCCCTCTATTTTCAGATATTTAACGAGTTGAGGGGATCCCCAATTATAAGCCCAGCATGTTTTTACCGGGTGACAGCGACATTTATAATAATATGCGTGTAAAAAGTGTGTTTCATTGCATAGAAATCATGCTTAGTACAGTTGTTTGATTCATCGTTTACTTTTACTTTTCCGAAATTATCATGAATGGGCTCTGAACGAGTAAACTAATATACAACATGACCTGTTTGAGACCAGGAAAGGTGTTTAAATACTTCCTTCACTCTCAGTTTACCTTTGAAAATGGCGAATTACCAGTTATTGCCTTTTTTAGTCGAAATCAGTGCTAACGTCAATAATCGGAAAACTTTGTCAGTATAACAAAGCATTTTGATTGGTTAATTGGTTAATGAAAGACTTGACGTGTCAAAGGACGTTGTTTCAGGTCAAATTATGGTGAAAAGCGTCATGGCAGAAATTGGTTTGCATAGAGAGTTTGCTTACAATCAAAAACATCCCACATCAAAGATAATAATTAAGATCTTGCATTCTGAGTGTTTACCCACAGACCTTACCTATTTTTTCAACGAAAATTCAGACGGTATGTAAATCATATTGTAGTAAAATAAAATATTTTTATGAACATGTTTGTTTCTTCATTGTAAAAGTGTCTCGGAAATCTAGGACGACTTGTTTCCTTTTTTTTCTTCAAAATAATATGTAATAATTACAATTGTAAACCCCCCAAAAAATTATTTTTTCTGAGACGGTCCTCGAGTATAAGCCCACCCTTTAATTTTCCTGATTTTACATGTTCAAGCCCTTGGGCTTATGATCGGGGAAGTACGGTAGTATAAAATAATTCATTATGGGATACATATATATGCACACTGAATTGGTTGACTAGTAGTTATTTTTGTCTCCCAAAACACTAAAAATATTTAATAACCCAGTTCTCAGGCCTGCCTCAACCAATTCCATTCAAATCTGTTTTGAAAATCACACATGATGCGTTACCGATGCACACATGTTTGTTTGTGATTCAAATTCGTTGACTGCAGCAGTGTCGGTTTTATTTTCATGAGTTCTTAACCATTTCTCAGATTTGTTTTAACTTATTTTGGGTTTGAAAAAAACTCATGATTGTTTTGTTATTCATAATATCAAACAGGTTCATATTCGGATTTTACAATTTTATAGTACATGTATGATACAAGAATAATATTTTTTATCGTAAACAATATTTATTATTTGTTTGTAATTAATGTTTTGCAGGATTTGAAACCAAATAATTTATTAATAAATGGACAAGGAATTCTAAAACTTGGTGATTTTGGTCTAGCTAAGTATTTTGGAAGTCCAAACCGTGCCTACACTCATCAGGTGGTCACTCGGTAAGTATTTCTTCAATTATATCTTATACTACTTTAACATTATTTTGTATTATTCAAGATGTGAAGGGATAATGTGAGCTATGTATCAATGTACTTTAAAGAGTCATGAATCAATTGAAATGAATATTGTTAACCAAGGTGATTTGGTTGTTTAAAAATATGTACCAATTCTTGGTCTATCCATGAACATTGCTGACCAAGGTGACATACCGATAGTTTCTCCAAAATACATACCTATTTTAAAGGTTGGCTGACATTCAGCAAAACTGTATTTTCTGCATTTGGTTTTATTTTAGGTGGTACAGATGTCCAGAACTATTATTTGGTGCCAGGATATATGGTATTGGTGTTGACATGTGGGCCATAGGATGTATATTAGCAGAACTACTTCTCAGAGTACCATTTCTGGCTGGTGACTCTGATCTTGATCAACTTAGTAAAATATTCCAGGCTTTAGGAACACCCACAGAAGAGCAGTGGCCTGTGAGTATAACTTTATTAATAGTTATTCTCAAATATCAATAACATGCAAGTATGCAATTGTGAGATTGACATCATTTGTTTTGTTTTTTTTCCCGGGGGGGGGGGGGGGGATATGAATTTAACACAGTGCCTTCTGATAGCACTATGGTAAATGAGTTTTTTCCTAATTCCCGCATGTTACTATCTGTTGTGACATTCCTGTAGTGTACATATGGTTTTAACACCATTTTTGATCAACTTTTCATAACTAATATGGTATTACCATGCTTGATAATGTGCTATACGCATTTAACGATGTCAAATCATTTCATGTTTTGTTGCAGACGCAATACACAAAACCATCTATTACATGACTAATCTGTTATTTCTCCATGAATATGTTTACCCAATCACAATGCAATCTATGTTATCAAGATTCACTCACTAACATTTTTTGAAAAATATTTTCTTATGAATTATCTTAGGAACAATAATGATACAAGGGTGTAATCAGTTGATTCTGACATCGTTTTTTTTTTTATTTAATGTTTTTGTGCCAGGCGACAGTTCCAGACATTGAATGTTACTGTTGTCTCACTTGACTAGTGCCTTGTTACCACAGAAGCCATATTCATGTTTAGGACTACATGACAGGGCTGTACAATCAAATGGTTATTTGATTCCAGGCACTTTTTTGTTCTAGGGAATGACAGCATTACCAGACTATGTAGAATTCAAGAAATTTCCTGGCACTCAATGAAAG